CCCCGCTTGCCCACGGAGGGTGCGAGGGGGGGCTCTGGGGGGTGGGGGGTGGAAGATCTGGCACTGGGCTTACCCAGAGAAGAAAGGTCTTTCATTTGATTTGGGGGCTAAGTCACTTCATTCTTTGCTCTTATGCACAAATCCTAGTTGTCCTTAGGTGCTTGGTCCCAAAGTTAATAAACTTGCCACATTTGGAATGAAATGCAATTAATGTATTTTGAGTACATGTTATCTGGCTGGAAACCAAACACTCTGTATGCCACCCATGTATACTCAAATGACTTCCACCATACTTCAGGGTGTTCAACAGCCTCTGCGTTCATCTTTCCAAAGCTCCTAAACACCGAGAGCAGAATCCAGTTTTAACTTATGCAGTTCCGTAAGTGAAGTTCTATAGGTTTCTCACTTCCTGGTACACCTCTCACATTGGCTGCAGGTACACAGTGGGCTGTGTGCCCAGTTCTCTAAAGGCAAGCATGTAGGAGAGGAGGAACCATTGTGCACTTGCTTTCTTGCATATGGTTTCTCTCCAATTGGATTTTGTTCCAAGTGGCCCTGGCCATCTTAATGTGGATCATATATGTATCAGGAGTATAGAAGGATGCTCCGTGCATATAGATGTGCATGGAAGTGACACCTCTAACCAATCATAACTGTACATGCTTAGCATTTTTGCATTATAAGGCTAAATGTGGAACTTGGCACGAATGGCCATTAAAAGGCCATTAAATTAGCAATTAAAATTAGCAATTAAAATTAAAATTAAAATTAAAATTAAAATTATTATTATTATTATTATTATTATTATTATTATTATTATTATTATTATTATTATTATTATGTGTTTCCATGGCTCAGCCGCCTATCTAGTCATTTCGACCACTCTAGGCGGCTAATGTCTGGCTAATAGGCATGATCCAATTTCCATACACCTGTTCAGTGGCTATGGTGTTGTGATGATGAACACCCCCTTTAGAAAGCTGTTCCTAGCCTGCATCCACTCTCTGTTTATTCCTGGTACTACAGATCTACAAACCAGCCCTGAATGCTGAAGTGCGTGAAACGGGAACCTTTTGCTGGTGGCTGCCCCCACTTTGGCTGCCCCCACTTTGACTGCACTCAAGCTGAAGAGCAGCCTGTTCTTTATGGAAATGTTGAGATTCTCTGTCAATAATTTTGAACCATAAACTTGCTACTGCTATGATTAAATATATATCTGTAGGCACGTTAGAATCCTCTTGTTTGTCACTGTGGCATTTCAAAACTATTCTCAGAGCTCACATTTCTTTTCTTTTTTTTAAAGCTCATGGATGTGGCTTCTCCTTCTCCTTCTGCCAAGCTGAAAATTATGAGTTCACTTATATAAAAGAACACTTTCGGATCACAACACGGTCAGCCATGGATCTGTGATGCTCACCGTTTGGAGCACCAGTAGGATTTTTCTGCATCCCTGCAATTTTTACATCCCTAGAACTAGACGTTGACTGCTCATGACTGTAGAAGAACTACACAAGTTTAATGTTGGCAACGAAGAAATTGAAATAGTTAGAGATTTTGTTAGACCTTGGTTCAGCCATCAATTCAAAGTGAGGCTGCAGCCAATAAATCAGAAGAAGACTGGGACTAGGAGGGGCAGTGATGAAGGAACTAGAAAAGATCATCAAGTGTAAGGATGTGTCACTGGAGAATGAGATCAAGACCAAGACCATCCACACTCTGGTATTCCCAATCACCATGTATGGGTGTGAGAGTTGACAGTTGAGAAAACTGACAGGAAAAATAATGATTTGTTTGAAATGTGGTGCTGGAGCACAACTTTGTGGGTCCTCTGTATCATCAGAAACACAAACAAGTGGGTGCTAGAGCATATGAAGCCTGAACTATCTCTGGAGACAAAAAAGTTGGAACTGAGGCTGTCCTATTTTAGGCATATCACAAGAAGATAAATTTCTTTGGAAAAAGACAATAATACTGGGAAATGTGGAAGGCAGCAGGAGCAGAGGAAGACCAATTATTAGATGGCTCAACGTCTTAAAGGAAGCCACAGGTTTGAGCTTATAAGAGCTGAGCAGGGCTCTTGAGGACAGGATATTTTGGAGATCACTCATTAATAGGCTCACCATAAGTAAGAGGCAACTTGATGGCACATAACAATAAAAACAAGTGTTGACAGTTGGTCTGAGCTTGAAATTACTGCAAATCAAGCATACAGTGGGAGTGTTTTTGTTCTTATGGCTGATATTTAAAATAAATTAGAACTTGGTTGTTCCCTCATTTCCCCCTTTTCTTTACTTATATTTTGCATGAAAGCAGGCCTCATGAATTGAATGCAGAGAGTTTTTAGATGAGAGCAGGGATATGAAAGGCTCAGAGTACTGTGGTTTGGCTTTGCCTTACAATGATTATAATTTCAAAGCCCTAGAAATGTTTTTTGAAAGAAAGAAAGAAAGAAAGAAAAAGAAAGAAAGCTTTGAAATGGTAATACTGTACATCTGACCATCTCACTCAGTTCAGTTGTCTCTTTCTCTTTCTTTCTGGGATTTGAATATCTGACCATTTCATCTTAATAAAGAGAAGGCTTGTGTGAAACTTATTATTTATTTATTTATCATCAGTAAGGATCCACAACTCTGGCACAAGCCTACCCATTACTTCAGGCAGGCAGAGAAGCCACCCTGCTGCCACCACTGACTGTCACAACACCACACTCATCCCAATGCCAACATCAACATCTAAGAGGTCAGTGGTGGCAGTGGTAGCGCTTTCTTTCTATTCCCCACTTTTCTATTTCTAGAGCATAACTGTGTCTCAGCCAGCTGTATGGCCAATGTCTCACTTGGAAACAAAGCATTATTCGAAGGTGTGGCCAAAAAAGATGGCCTGGGTGCATTATGGAGGTGGGAGGTGGTGGCAGCAGCCGTTGGAGGAAGAAGCCAGTAGCAGTGGCATCTGGCTTAGGCAGCAGAGAGTGAGGAATAGTGGGAACTCCATCACTGCACCAGCGTTCTAATACCTGAGGTAACTTTGCTAATGGTTGGCCTGGCCTGGTGAAATCAAACATTGGACCCAATCTAAAGAAATTCATATACGCCCCACACCTAAGAATTTTAGTACAAAAGACCAAGGTGCTTAATGTTTTTGTTAGAAACAACCTCATTTGATTTCAATTACCCTTACTGAGTAAAATGTTTAATTAAGTAAAATCTAAAACCAACTGTTAGTTCCAGGTAGAGTAAACTCAATCAACCAGCTGTTTGAACACCAAGTCAATTATTAAATCCCTTTTGTTTAGTAAAGGCCTAAAGCCAGTTGCGAGTTTAGGGGCCTAAGTTATTAATTTAATGGGAAACCCAAGGGCATATGTTACTGTGATTGACACTATTCTCCTCATCAACTTTTTATTGCTTATTCTTTGCCTCTTTTAATCATTTAAGTTGGCTTTCCAGATGCCTTAGACCAGTGATCCCCAACCTTGGGCCTCCAGATGTTTTTGGACCTCAACTCCCAGAACTCCTGGTGGTGATGGCTTCTGGGAGTTGTTGTCCAAGAACATCTGGAGTCCCAAGGTTGGGGACCACTGCCTTAGACTACAAATTCCACAATTCAGCTGCTGGCTAGGAAGGGTGGAAAGTGTCCACTTGGAGAGTTTCTGCCTGAAAGCATTGATCAAAGGGCATATTGAATTGATACAACTTTTCCAGGGGTAAATTACCTCAATATATAGTTCCACCATTTTAAAAAAGCCTCCTTGGTTTCTACTAGATGGGGACTGAGCTTTCAGAGTGAGGCCAGCCAATCTGGTGTCCTTTTCCCCTTGCTTTCATTGTTTCTCTCTCTCTCTCTCTCTCTCTCTCTCTCTCTCTCTCTCTCTCTCACACACACACACACACACACACACACACACACACACACACACTCCTCTCAGACGGCTGCTGTTGTAGCCATGATCAGCTCCATGTCTTCCCCTTCTCCTGGGTTCTCAGACACATTCCATACCTGATTAATTAAAATGCTTTTAATCTGAATGTTTAACATGTAATTTCAAATTAATTGGCACCTAATTACATTAAGTCACCATTCTAAATGTGTTTGACCCTCACTGGGGCAAAAGCTGAAATATGAGCCTAATGAAATAAAAAAAATAATTGGTACGCTCCACTTTTAAACCTTCAAGATCAGAAGTAGTGTGGCTGCATCCTGACTCTGTGATACACTGTGACAGGACTGAGGGATATTTGGCTGGTGGGCTGGAAAAACATCATTATGCAGCATTTTCTGTGCCTTAGGGAAACTGGGCTGCCCACTGCTAAATAAGGCAGAAAAGTACTGAAATCTACCACACCCCTGGATAGGTTTACTGGAATCCAGTGGTAGGTCTTTGGGATAATTTAAAGGAGAGCAGCAAGGATTTCTCACACTTTTAACAACAAAGCTTGCCTTCCCTTCTATATAAAATGAAGAAAACTAGGTATCATTTTTGGTTTGTGAAGGAAGAGTTTGTTTTGGCATTCCATTTTGGACAGGCTTGCCATATGCCAGTTTTCAAAACTTGCCAATATTATGCAAATTACCTAATCCATTTTGCATCCTGTACATATTTCTATAATGTGCTAGCTAATTTGGTTTTTTTTTTTTCATATCATGGAAATTAAACACATTGATTGTTGCGTTGTTTTTGTTATCAATGTATTTTAGCTTTGAAATAATTTATATAGTAACCACTGAGCTGAGGGAGCTAATAGAGTGTGATGGGGTATAATATTTGTGACAACCCCAGACCTACTGGAGTATGCCACACTCTAATTATGCTGCCACCAACCATTCCCTATAAGGAGTCACACAGACCGGGAATGGATTTTTAACAAACAAAAGAACAAGGTTTATTTAAATAACAAACAGGGCAAATAAAAAGATCAGGTAAATAAAATACTGTAACGTGGCTTAGTCTCAATCATACATACAACAGTTTGGTTCGCACAGAACCCTTTAAAGTAAAGCACAGACCCTGAACCTATCAGTTCTGGCTACCTATAAAGAAACCTGAACCTATCAGGTATGTACTAACTGACACACAGTTGTACTTAGTCTGACACACAGACTCCAACTCCTCAACTCCCCACACAAGCTCCCAAATATATACAGTACAGCTCCTCCCCCTGATGTCCCGCCTTCCACTCCCCATAGGATGGAACTTTCCCTCCAAACCCATGACAGACAGGTACCATCAGTGCTGTATGTAACA